TAACCCACATGGTTGCTCACAGAAAAGATCTCCCTGCTCACTGCATCAAGTTGGAAGCTTTTAGGACTGAATCAAGCCCAGTGGCAAGAATGACATGAGACATCCTTGCTTCTCTTTTTGGTTGCTGTTTGCTAGCATTTGAGTTCTTTGGAAGATGACACAGGTGTCCTGGATTTGCTGCTAGGTGTTTGGGGTCATTGCATTAACTGCCTGTTTTGATCAGAGGAGAGTTTAAAAGTGATGATGGTCAAGATATATTGGGATGAGGTGGGAGACCAAGGAGCCATGTGGTCCTAACATTTACTTAGGCCCATGTGATTGGGGACTAGGGCCTAGCTGCATATTGGTTGAAGCCAGCAGTTGGCTCCCTTTGTCTGTTGCCCTCAAGGCTATCTTGTTGCCAATTTGTGACACACATGTACTTCATACTATGGGGAACGTGGAACAAACCAGAGACAGACCTGGGCTTGACCAGACCCAGGTGGAAAGGACCATGTACATGCCATAAGTGTCCACTATACTGTCCTGGTACCTAATGAGGAGGACACTAGGAGTATGGGCTGGGGTGGGGCAGGCCTCCAAGAGGAAGGACAACTGGACTGAGTTTTAATCTGAGGGTGTATCTCAGTGGTAAAGTGCTTGCCTACCATGCATGAGGCCCTGGATTTGATCCCTAGCACTGCAAAAATAGTAAATAAAGGAAAAGGAGTCAGAGTAAGAATTCCATAGAGCGAACAACTTGTGCAAAGACCCAGAGAAAGGAGTGTAACTAACATATTGTGGAACTGAGAATAGGCCGGGGGTTGGGAAATGCCGTGAGCACAGAATACCTGTGAGAGGATAGGAAATGACACAATAGAGACAGTGAAGATAGACCAAGGACACTCTCCAAGCGTACCTGTAGTCCCAGCACTCAGGAGGCTGAGGCAGAAGGATCACTTGAGCTCAGAAGTTCAAAACCGGCCTGGGCAACATAGTGAGACTCTGTCTCAAAACAACAGAAAGACCAAGGCAATTCTGAGCAGCCTTAAACACCATGCCAAAACATTTGAACTATATTTTAGGCTTTGGGAATTTCATTAACATCATAGAGCTCGAAATGTTGAGATTGGGGGAGTGATGTGTTATGGGAAGAGAATTTGGCTGGGAGGGGTAAATTCAAAGGGTGATTGGTCAAACTCATTTTAGCTGGTACAGTGGTGCAAGCCTATAATCCCACCCTTGGGAGGCTGAAGCAGGAGGATTGCAAGCTGCAGGCCAGCATGGGTAACTTAGCAAGAAAGACCTTGTCTCAAAATCAAATTTAAAGATTCCAGGTGCGATGGCACACCAGTGGCTTGGGAGGCTGAGGCAGGGGGATTACAAATTCAAGGCCAGTCTAGGCAATTTAGCAAGGCCCTACACAACTTAGCAAGACTTGTCTCTAAATAAAATATTTTAAAAGGACCTGGGGATGTGGCTCAGTGGTAGAGTATCCCTGGGTAAAGTAACCCAGAACTAGAAGAAAAACATTTTCATCAAAGTAGCATATGGTTTAAATGTCAAAAGTGCTAGAAATAATTTCCCTGGTAGTGGATGGAGCTCCTCTATCCAGCAATTGTTTCCCTGGGCCCACTATTAAAAAGATTGATTATACTGTCTGTATACTGGTGTAGCATGGGTTCCGCACAGCAAAACACTAAAGGACTCAAATTTGTGGCAAATTCTGAGGCAGATTTAAAGTTGAGCTGTTGGCTGCTGTATGGTAAATTCCTGGGCATTCTCAGAAATTGAAAATGGAATGTACACAGGGGACAGAAATACCATCACACCTTATAAGCACTGTATTGTAAGTGGAAGATGCATCATCTTAAAACTATATTTTAAGGGCTAGAGTTGTGATTTAGTGGTAGAGTGCTTGCCTAGCACATGTGAGGCCCTGGGTTCGATCCTCAGCACCACATATAAATAAATAAAATAAAAGTATATGTCCACCTACAACTTAATTTTTTTAAAAACTATATTTTAAATTGACATACACCCCCCAAAAAAGGACTAAAAGTCTTTTATTTTAAAAAAAAAAAAAGGTCTGTAGGTCAGAGGTAATATTTTGGGTTTTTTCCTGGTATGTATTCTCTCTACTCTAAATAATAGTCTTATAATTTTTTTAGGTGAGACATTTTCATAATTTTTGGATGACTTGGTATCTATATTATAATAACATAAAAATTGTTCATTGCCAAGATGAATGTACTATAATTACGATTACATTTCCCTTTTTCTTTAACTTATATTTTTTCTTCAAGTTAATGCTTATTATGGGGGTGGGATGAGGGGTGGAGGAGGGTTTTTTCTTTCTAACCAGTAATCACCAGTTGTATCCAGGTCTGCTGTGGACCCCTGGGTATTCTTTCCAGGGTCACTCCATCTTCGCCATCCTCCACAGCACTCTGTACCCACCAGGTTCCTGCAGGCCCTTCGCCCCATCCCTTCCTCCCCTCCGCATTCTGCTATGGACCCCTAAGTTCCACAGTGACTGCCTCTGAGTTCTCTCACTTGCATGGAGCACATTCTTCAAAGCTTCCCAAGAAAGTGCATGGATAGCCAGGTTTTCCGGTCCTTATGCATCTGAAGACATTATTATTCTGTCCCCATGCTTAACTGATATGGGTATTGTTTCATGTGCTGGATGTAGAATTCTAGGCTGAGAACATTTTCTTTTTGACACTTGGAGGCATTGCTCTATCATCTTTTAGCTTGAAAAGTCTACGATGTTCCCAGTCATAGTTCTTCATATATGACTTTTTTTTTTTTTTCCTTTCTAGAAAATTTTAGGAGCTTTACTATCCCTGGTGTGTCTTAGTGTTTGAACCTTTTTTTTTTTTTAATGTGTTTTGCATCAAGTGCCTTTTCAATGTGAAATGCCTGTTTGTTCAGTTCTAGAAATTTACTTATGTGTCTAATAATTTCCTACCTTTTTTATTTTTTCTGCTTTATCAGAAATTTGATCTCATGTTTTCTCCCCTATTTTCCATCTTTTAATCTGTTCTACTCTCTGTAAGATTTCCTTGACTTATTTTTTTACCTTCTTTTGAAGGTCTGTTTGATTTTTTTAATTCAATTTTTTTTCCTTTCTTTCTTATGAGTGCTGAGATTGAACCCAGGGCTTTGCATGTGCTAGGCAAGAACTCTACTACTGAACTATACCTCAATCTCTAGCATCCTATTTTTTTATGATACAGATCTCTTATCTCTGAAGTAGAGTTTGAGGGCATGTTTTGCTTTCTCCTGCTCCCCACATTTCTCTGCTATTCCTATATACTTCTGTGTCCCTTAAGAGTGACACACGGAAATGCCATTTGTTGTGATGTGCAGGGAAAAAGTGAGATGACCTACAGGACTTAGGGTTAGTAATAGGACAGCAGGCCTACCTCCACCCACCAAATGTAACTGTAGGTCTTTTCTTGGGGCCTCTCAGGTCAGTTCCTCAAGACAGTGGTTGAACCTCAAATGTCCTGTCACAAAGGCCTGAGCATTAGAGTTAGGGGTACTAACTGATCCAGTCAGTCAGATACAAACTTTACACCAGTTCCTGTTTTCAGCCTCATCCACCCTTTCTGCAGGAGCCTGCCTCCAGGTCATGAGTTCATCCCAAAGAGGTTGCAACTTCTACTTCCAAAAAGAAATCAGAACAACTTTATATATGCCCTGCATCTTGAAAACTATGTTAATATCCCTCTTATATGCTTACCCCATTTACTGTACTTCTAGTTTCAGAAGGAAGAAAAGGTCTGCCTGTGCACGTACTCAGCCTTAGTTAACTGGAATGGACTACCCTTCTCTGACATTGCATGTTGCTTTCTTGTTTCTTGTCTTTTTTTTTTTTTTTTGGTAGTAGGGATTAAACTCAGGGGCATTTTACCACTGAGCTTAATCCTCAGCCCCGCCCACCCACCCACCCACCCCCTTTTTTTTTTTTTTGAGACACAGTCTCCAAGTGCTAATAAGTTGCTGAGCTTGGCCTTGAACTTTCAATGCTCCCACCTCAGCCTCCTGAGTCACTGGGGTTATATGTGCACCACCATGCCTGGGCACTACTTTCTTTATAAACTGTTCTCTCAGCTCTAAGTAATAGGATGATAGTTGAGGATTGGGGTTTTTTGTTTGTTTGGTTTTTGGTTGAGTTGACCCCAAATGTATTTTAAAATTTTATTGGTCTGTGAAATCTAAAACCCGGCAGCAGAGGCTGGGGTTGTAGCTCAGTGGTAGAATGTTTGTTATAGCCCTGGGTCCATCTCCAGTACCACTAATCATACAGACAGATAAGTAAGTAAAATCAAGCAGGGTTTTTTGGTTTTTGGGAGGTTTTTTTTTTTTGTGTATATATATATATATATATATATATACATACATACACACACACACACATATATATACACATACACACACATACATACATTCATACATACATACATACATACATTCTTGACTTTGAAGGGAGGGACATAGATGGGACAGAGGCCAGATGACATAGGAGAGGGAAAAGTGTTTTTTTTTGTTTGTTTGTTTTTTCTTACCAAGCTCAGAGAAACTTGAGATCAGGCAGGAAAAGTGGTGTATTAGACAGGTAGTATAGCAGAATATCAAAGAAGAGTAACGGTGGCCTGTTCCCAGAAGAAGGTGGTAGTGGGAGGAGAGGGCCAGCAAGTGGGGAGGATGTACACCTGATGGGCCTATACTTCCTAAAGATGGAGGCAGACACAGTTCTCAGGGCAAGTTGTAGAGGCCCCGCCCTGAGGCATGTTTCCACAATTTCTCCAGACTTTTCTTTCCAGAGAGTCTGTTTTGGAAAATTAAAATGGAGTGAGAAAAGAGATTATCTGTGCCTGAAAATTGGGTGATTACCTGAAGCCATCAGACAGTGACACTCTGGAGGACTAGCGTCCGTTGCCCACCCATCCGGCCAGCGTCTGGGAACCTGAGCATGAGCCCCACCAATGGTTTTGCCTTTGTCTCTCCAGGCCTGGTCCAGATCCCTGTGAGTATGTACCAGACTGTGGTAACCAGCCTCGCCCAGGGCAACGGACCAGTGCAGGTGGCCATGGCACCTGTAACCACCAGGATATCGGACAGCACAGTCACTATGGACGGCCAGGCTGTGGAGGTGGTGACATTGGAACAGTGACATGCAGCCGTATCATGGCATCGTTTTCTAGTCTACTTCAAAATTTTTTACACGTTTGCAGAGGTGCAATCAAATGGAATTAAGTCTCACGACTTTGGAAGAAAAGTTTTGTTAACCTTTTTTTTTTAAAAGGAAGAAAGGCAGCAGATTTTGGAATTGCATTTTTTTAAAGCACCACTCTTGATTTTCTGGGATTGGTGGAGTAAGAAACTGCATTGTCAATTTCACTGTCCCAAAAAAGCCAAATTGTGGCAGGACTTCTTTCTGCGGAAACGTGTGTATACTTATGTGTGTGTATGTGTGAGTGTGAATATATGTATATGTGTACATAAGGACATACACATTTACATATATATATATAAAATATATATATACATACATATATATGTATATATATGTATGAAACCCGCATGGAATTATCTGTATGAAATCAAGGTGAGCTGTGGAAACAATTATCCACCCAGTTTAGTGGGTGGTAGGGTACGTGGCCAGATACAGTCACCTGGTTTTTGTTCATACCAGGGTTATGCGTTGAGCTACTGACAAACTCAGGCAGAGGTGACCATGCCCTTCACCAAAGCTGCCTCCCAGTGGCCGCCCAGAACTTCCCTGCTGGACTCACTTGAGGAAGGAGGTTCCAAGATGCAGTGGGATCCAGAAAGTACTTGCAAGGTCCAGGGATCTCATGGTCCGCCAGCTGAGACACTCCTCGGGCTGGCCCAGGTGCTGACCTTGCCACAGGCAGGTGAATGTCTTGAAGCTCCCACCAGGGACATAAGGGTTTTCCTCAGCTTCCCATCTCCTCCATATCCCAGGAATCCTCCTTGATCTTATGACCATTAAAGAGTTGCTTTGGTCTTAAGGTCAGTCCTGAATTGGTCATGTATATGAACTGAAGGTAACAGAAGTAATAAGGGTCTGAGGAGTGCGTGCTAAGCGTGCTTGTGGGTGTGCGCGTGCATGGTAGGGGAGAGAATGGGAAGAGGTGGAGGAGCTAGAAGGGAAAGGAGGAAGGGAGAAAGTCTTCATAGACCAGGGTACACCAATGGGAGCCATTTCTTTTCCTCTAGTTGTCATTTCTCTGCAATGAAAAGGGACACCTGGCTTAGGAAGGGTGGCCATCACAATGGAATGTGTCAGAAGAGAAAGGGTCTTCATACCTGGATCTGGCCCTGCTCTGGGAGTGGTTCTAAGAGGCCCATTTTCCTAGCTGCATCCTAGTGGCCCAGGCCCTGTGTGGCCCTCCTGCTTACAAGTGTGGATTGGTCTGGGTGTTATTTGTCAGTTAAATTCTGTCCTTCCCTAGCTGCAAGCCCTGAGTCTCCTGTGGCTACATTCACCCGACTTTTTGACAGGCCAAATCCCTGCTCCTTGAGTATAGGGACAACTCTTCCTTCCCCCTCCCATGTCCCCCCATGTGTGATAGTGTATTTAATGTTTTTTTTTTTTTTTTTAAAGCAACATTAAAAGATTCTTCATGTCTTGCTCAGCCTTTGAGAAAAGTTTCAGATTCTTGTATTTGCTTGTTTTATATAAAACTATCCAATGTTCTTTGTATGTTCTTTTCTGTACGTAATGGGTGGGAGGGAGGGAAGGGAAATTTACATATGAACGGTCCTAGTTCTAATTTGTTATTTTTTTAATTATTATTTTTTATCATCATTGTGAAGCTGTCCAGGGGCTTTAAAGTCCGTGTACCTTTGTGGTGAGATAACTTCCTAATAGTTTGAAAAATTGCCAAGAAGAAAAAAGCAAAATCCCAGTAGCAGAGCATGGATTCTGTGTTGTTTTCCATTCTGTCTATACTGCCTCATTCAATAAATAGTTAAAAATGTGGCAACAGGAAGTGGAACTGTTCATCTCTCTAGGAGCCCTTGACCTCTTGGGCAAAAGACTTGGCTTATGCTTCTCAAAAGGTGCTTGTACTCAGAGTCAGTGGTCTTTGTTCTACATGGCACTAGAGTTCCAGGAGGTGGTCAAGGCCAGATCAGGGGCTTCTGCCATCCCCAGCCCTAGCTCAGCTCCATTTCATTTAATGTGTTTTCTGTATAATGATGTTCTGGAAGAAAAATCTAGTTTGAAAAATACTAAAGATGGTTTGAAAGTCTTTATTCTGGAGTTCTTTTTATTTTTAGGGGTTAATTTGATATCCACGTTAAAAACCAACCTCCATCTTGGGAGGCTCTCTCACCACGAGCTCTAATACCTGAGTGGATTACCTTTCCCCAGCAGAAGCCCCAAGTCATGAATTATTTTCTTCCATCCTTCCTACCCCGTTTCTCACACAGTTGACTGACTTAATTTGGCAACTGCTGCCTTTCCAGTTGTGTCCTGCCCCATCCCCAGCTCAGGCCCAAGTCTCTACACCTTCCTGACTGTACTCACGGTGCCTCAGTCTGGAATGCCCTGTCCTGCCATCCCTCTTTTTGCTGTTGGATGTCTTGGTCAGGTTCCTGGTGATAATGATTAGAATAATTAAATGAGAAGGTCAAGAAGTATTTTCCTTGAAGCCTGACAGTGGTTCGGTAAAGCCAAGTACCCTCCTCACCACCTTCTTGCACAAATGGCATAGTGCCACCTATTTGCACCAGAGAGGATGGACCAGAAGGAGGAGTGATTACAGCCACCCAGGGAACAGCAAGGTTACCAATACACTTTCCTCTTCAGCCTGAGCCAGGCACTGCTTTCGTCACAAGCATTGTTAAAACTGTCTTTGGTGGATCTGAAAGAGACCTCCTCTTCTATTAGAGCCTAAGTCACCTACAGATGCTACAAACTGAGCTGCTCGGGCAGTCAGGTAAGTAGGTAAGTGCAATGGATGCAGCAGCAGCAGTTCAGATGGCAAAGGAGTGATGACACAGGCAGAGTGGAGAGCAGCCATCTTCGGTTTCATTTGGCAGTGCTGGCATTGAACCCAGGGCTTTGTGCATGCAAGGCAAGCAAAATGTACCACTGAGCCTCATCCCAGCCTGAAAGCATCTATCTAGAGCGGCAGACTCTCCTAAGTGCTGGCAGATCTTCCCTTCACAGGAAGGTGGGCCCTGCTGCCACATCTTCACAATTTTCCAGAGAATCTAAGGAACCCAGGTTTTTATATGAAATCTCTTGATTTCATCAACAATCAAAAATTGTTTACATGTTCTTCAGGTAAAATAAAGCCCATCTAGAGATCAGATCTAGCCTGAGGGTCAGTTTGCTTGACATCATAAATGCCTAGCTCATGCCAGGTGATTGAAGCATTTCAGTGGCCATGAAACAAGACAAGGAGACATCCGTATGAGCAAATTGCTGCCGCCCAGGGAGATGAGGGGACATCTGGACAGGGTGCCACAGAAGAAAGAATTCTATTGCCTCGTATCTCCTTCAGGGCCCTGTGAGTTAAGTCATCACCCAGGCTGCAAGCACAGATCTGCAAGCACAGGTGATGGTGGTGACCACTGGAGTCATCCAATCTTGAATGAATGAAAGAGGAAGGATACCATGCTGAGAAGAAGAGCTCAGGCTGCAGTGCACCCTGGGCCTCACTCAGGCCCAGCAGAGTGCTCTTCCTTTGTAAGGCCCCTAAAGCCTCAGCTGCTAGCATGGCAGAATGGATCAGGCTCATGGTGGGCCCTTTGGTGTTGGTACCAAAACTCATCAGAACAAATTGAGGGCTGGGGTTGTAGCTCAGTGGTAGAGCGCTTGCCTAGCATGTGTGAGGCAATCTGGTTCCAGCACTGTGCCACTTGATATGCTTTTCTTATGGTCTGTGATGGATGAAAGCAGAGGATATAAGAGCATTCGTTTATATTTCTTTTTCTTTTCACTTTTTTTTTATTGGTGCATTATAGTTGTACATTTATGGTGGGATTTGTTACATATTCATACATGCACACAATATAACAATATAATTTGGCCAATATCTCTCTCCAACACTCAGCTATATTTTTAAAATACTTAACCAATATTGGGAGAAAAAGCTAAGAAACCTCCTGCCCCATTTTAATGCACTTGCAAGTAAAACTGGTAACAGGGATAAGGATGTGGCTCAGTGGTAGAGGGTAGAGTGCCTAGCATGTGCAAGATTCCATTCCCCAGCACCAAAAAAAAAAAAAAAAAAAGTGTTAAAATTTAAATTAACTGTCTCAACTAAAAATTCTTCTGAATTTATTCACAAACTAACAGTTATAGCTTCCCATTACTAAATGGCTGCTCTGCCTTTTACCATGTAAAATGTTTTATCTCCTTATTTCTAATCCTTTACAAAATCCTGTAAGGAGAGAGATTCCATCTTGCAGATGTGGGAATTCACACTCGGAATCATCCCCAAGTGCACAACTAGCAAATGGAGGACTGTCATAACCTCAGGTGTCTGGCCCTGGCAGCTCTACTCTTTGTGCCAATCACTCAGGCAGATCACAGAAAACAAACTGCACATCAGGATTCTAAGTAAGCCTCCAGGTTTATCTTGAGCTCAGCCCAGGTGCAGCCCCTCCCAAGGTCAGTATGTTCTGGGACAGTCCTAGGGTTGTGCCACGATCCTTGCCCAGGGCTTGCCAAACCCACAGCAGCTGCTGCTGCTGTTGCTTCTTCTTTTTAAATATATTTTTAGTTATACATGGACACAGTATCTTTTTTTTTTTTTTTAATGTGTTTCTGAGGATCAAACCCAGTGCCTCACCTGTACAAGACAAGTGCTCTGCCACTGAGCCACAACCCCAGCCCATAGCAGCTGCTTATGAGCTAGGCCTTTTCATATCTGTATCTCCCCCATCCTCCGCCCACCCCCACACACACAGCAGTTATGGCGGCAGGCACACACCTATAATCCCAGCAATTTAGGAGATTGAGATGGGAGGATTGCAAGTTCAAGGCCAGCCTCCGCAACTTAGTGAAACCCTGTCTCAAAATACAAAATTAAAAGGCTGGGGTAATAGGGGCTGAGGTTGTGGCTCAGCGGTAGAGTGCTTGCCTAGCACATGGGAGGCCCTGGGTTCAATCCTCAGCACCACATAAAAATAAGTAAATACAATAAAAGCATTGTGACCATCTACAACTAAATATATATATATATATATATAATTTTTTTTTTTAAAGGCTGAGGTAATAGCTCAGTGGCAGAGCACGCCTGGGTTCATTCCCCAGTACCAACACACATATACACAGACTTGAATGTAGCAGGAGCTCAACACATGGATGAGTAAACTGGTTTACTGGTGGTTCCTTAATCAGAAAATTCAGGGAGCCTAAAACTTATATTCCCACACATTTCCATTACTCAAGACCTCCACAAAAATGTTTGTTTATTTGTTTTTTGACTGCTGAGATGGAATCCAGGGTCTTGGGCATGCCAGGTGTGTACTCCACCACTGAGCTACACCCCAACTTCAATAAACTGGCCAGGTGCTATCCTACCAGGGGTGAAAGGTAGTAAAAATGTTGATGCCTCAATGTTACCTTATGTTGGTCTTTAAAAACCCCAAGGCCCAAATAAAAGATTGGTTAATGATGAGTAGCATTGGGCAAAGTTGTTGGATTGTGTAATGGTCAGTTAGGTCTAAGACCTAAACAGCCTTGCTCCTTTCTTGTGCCCTTTTGTAGAAGACAACTCTAAAGCTAAGGAGAATAATGAAATGATGGCATTTGCCAGTAAATGGATGGAGCTGAAGAATATTCTGTTAAGCAAAATAAGGCAATCCCAAAAAAACCAAGGCTAAATGTTTTCTCTGATATCAGGATGCTAATTCACAATGATGAGGGGGAGCCTAGGGAAAAATAGAGCTACTTTCAATTGGGTAGAGGGGTGTAACAGGAGGGAAGGGGGTAGGAAGAAGAGTAGAATGAATCTGACATTACTACCCTATGTGCATATATGACCTCATGACTGGTGGGATTCTACATCATATACACCAGAAAAATGAGAAATCACACTCCATTTATGTATGATGTGTCAAAGTGCATTCTGTTGTCATGTATAACTAATTAGAACAAATTTCTTTAAAAAGTTTAACTCAAAAAAAGATGCCCAGTTGAAAAACAAACTTTAGGGCTGAGGATATAGTTCAGTTGGTAGTGCTTACTTTGCATGCACTAGGCCCTGGGTTCAATCCCTAGCACCACAAAAAAGAAAAAACAAAAAAACTTTAAAGCTGGAAGGATGTTAGCCTGCACCTGCTCATTCAGGCTGTGAAGGTTACAACCTGGAGACAGGGATGGGCCCAAGGCCACCTGGCTCTGCTCTCTCTCCTACTGGTCTTCTCCCCTTGCCTGAATATTTTAACTCACACCTTACGAATCCTTACCAGAGCTATTTTGGAGATACCAATGTTTAAGTCAAAGAAATCAATCTATAATTTACGAGAATTTCCTGAAATGGGTGCAGAAAGCAGAAAACTGTGCCCCTCCCACACACACACTCAGTGCCAAGGATTGAACCCAGGGCCTCAAACACAAAGCGCAAGTGTTCTAGCACAGAGCTACACCCTCAAGCCCCTCCTTTCCCAACACCACATCACCCCTTTTTAGACCAAAAAAAAAAATTAACTCACAAAAGTTAAGGGATCCGGCTGGGG